AGTAGCAACTCAAATAGCCTCAAATTTATGTTTCCATCCAACACTTAACAATATCAGGTCTAATTTTCAAATCCATTCTACCATATATATACATATATATATACACACACACACACACACATATACACATGCGCTTTAGATAAAGTGTTTTCATAACTGGTATACCATCCAGACAAGAGGGGTTGCAAAAAAAGCATGGAAAAGCTGCAACTATTAAGAGTATATATTTAAAGCCATTGCAAAACTAACAATTATGCTACCAATGGTGAGAATTTACTAATTGACTACCAAAATTCTTCCAACTTAATGAATGGATAAATGCCTTAATTTTTGAGTGGTTTTTGGAAAATTAAGACTTAACAATCCCCACTACAATGCARAATGACTGGCCACTGCATTCAATCACTTTTCCACAGGCCTGACCAGTGAAGTGAAATGCAAAATGTGATCCCAGTCGATTAGTCCTCAACCTACCCCATTGCTGGAACTAGCGGCTGGAAGCCCTGTGTCCAGAGTTGAGTTTTTCCGGTTGTGCTGAGTTAACACAGTGTAGGATTGCAGGATCCTGAAGGACTTGGGAAGTGAAGGGCACATTCCCAGCAGCACCCCATGCCCAAGGGCTGTGGCATTTCATCCCAGCACCCCGGGAATCACACGTGGTAGGAGCCACTCCTGCTATGCCAAACATCGGGACTCAAAGAGCTTCCAGTTAGGTTCTCGTAAATGACTCCCCTTCTGCAACATGAAACCCCATAGCGAGGGTCGAATGCAAATCCCTTGCATTGCTCAGCGTGGCTTTTAACACACGTATTTATATCCCCAGCAGATGTGCTTGATCCAATAAACAAATCTGCCTGTTACCAAGCTACCTGATGGTTCTTAATCTTCTCACGGAATATTCTGCCATTAAGAATATGGACTCACAATTGTTACTTCACATTCTAATTAAAAAAAAAAAAAAGTATATGAATGAAAGGACCTTAATATTGACATAAATGTAATATATCCAGTTGAAGGTTTCTTTAAAAACCCCAAGGAACCTTAATGCYAACAAGAATTGAAAACAGTCATTCGCTAACACATTTTATCAGGTTATGCTAACAACTAGACCTGGAAAAATGTGTGCTTGAAACTGATAACTGCATTGCCATGGGAAACTGTGTTCTGCATCCAGAGTAAGCCAGAAATCCACGAGATTCTCATTAGAGATCAAATGACGTGAGCTCCGGACAGGCACATAGTGAAGCTGGCACAGCACAATGGTTGCATTGCTCCAGCCATGTCTTGGATTGCAAGCTCACTTGATTACAATCAAAGCCAAATCAGTAAAGGACAAAGGTATGAATTACAGTCTATCTGACATGAGTCATCTTACACACACATAAAAAAACACATTTCTGCAAGACAGCATGGATTTTCCCATATAGTTAGAGTGGAGGCTGGAAGGTTTTTGCATACAAACACTCCAAATTTGCAAGCATGTGACAGATCATCCATTATCTGGCTTGCCCGAGTCACTATCTAAAATGCTGCGAGGCACATTTTCTGTTTATATGCAAAGCTATAGTGACCAAATTATCCGTGCCTCCCAGAAACACTGGGCTTGGATTTGCATTCCCATTACCTCCTACAAACTGCAGCTGACACAAGTCATGGTTCATTCAGAAGTGCTGCAACATCACAGAGAAAGAAATGCAAGAGAAATACTCCCAGAACAAGATAATTTGTGTGTTCATGAAGGACTGAACAAAGCGGCTATTGAGGATAACATAAAGGCAGTGCCTGCATCTCTGCCATCTGCAAGGCAGGTCTCCACTGGCCACTCAACTGTGTGGCCGTAAGTGAGCTCCAAACGAGTACTTGTCTGGTACCATGCACGGCTGGAGTAGCAGGCTGGACGGAACACACTTGATTTGAACTCGATATAGTTGGAACTGTCAATATTTTATCACCTTTTCTCTTCTCCATCAGTGCTCTCATGACAGCAGCGTGAAGCAATACGAGAWTTTGCAAATGTGGGAACCAAAAAAGCTTTTGAAGTCTGATGAATATACTGCTTGCCTAACATTTCAAAGGCTTTGACTTCTACTGAAACAGCACTTTTATTAAACCTGGTTAAAAAGGAAGGAATTTCAAAGTACAGATTGAATAAAAATCTGAAGAGGGCCAAATGTGAATGACTGAGTAACACATCCCCTACAGTCTTTTCCTGGCAGCTGAGATATGCACTTTTACAATGAGTAATACATATGAACTATAAACAGATATGACCATAAACGTTATTTATAACACTTATTAACTTCCCAGTCTCTTAGTACTCTTGCTACTAAGTAAAAGTAGAGACATTCGCAGTATTGCCAGGAAAACTTTTAACCTGGAGAGGCATCTAACTGCCTTGAGTAAGGACAAGAATAGGAGTTAAATCTTGGATCTTTACAAGAATTACCTGGGAAATACAGGAATGATTGGATGGGAATGAGCAGCTTTATAATAGCCTGATTTTTCATGGCTTCATAATATATTTTAAATACAAAATGCAAAAACATGCTTGCTGCTATAATCCTGACCATTTCTGAAACTTTGGGTCCTCATGGAAACAATCAGCCAGTATATGCTATGCTACCTTTCTCTCCTGAAAAAAAGGAATCGACTGAATGCCCACATGCCCTCCACTGAAACCTCATACTTTAAACTCAAGTCCTATCAAATTCTAATTCAAAATTCAAACCGTATCAAATAAATGGTTTCGCATTTCGCACATATTCAGAAAGGTAAGTGCAACTTCACCCAGTATAATATCATCTATCACTGATAAAGTTATTAAACAGACCTTAAATATCTTTAGATGCCTCTCAGGGCATAGTCATTTGTACTCTGTCTCCTTGGGCTCTATGCTATTTTGCAGTCTTCACCACAGTAGGTCTGTAAACATCAGGTGAAAAATGGTCATTTTCTGCAATCTGTGATGGAAATTTCCACATCAGAAAGGAAGTTGCACTTCTTCAATTAAAACAAGCAAAGAAAACAAACAMACACAACAACCCAGATACCAGAAAGATGTCAACAGAGTGGTGGAAACTCCTTAAGAGTAATAAAGTGGACTAYAGCATTAAATAATGAGGATAAATTTAAGAAATCTTAAATATATGTAAACTCCACAAAATGATTACCAAGGAGGAATGTTAATATTCTGAGTGCATTAACGCTAAGAAGCAGTTTAAATATRTATTTCCTGTGGCCATCCTGAGTCCAAGGGTCCATCCTGAGTCTGAGTAGCTGCTAGAAACTATCAAACTTCTTATTTAACACAGTATTAATGAAGTGTCTCTTTCTCATTTTATCCAATTTTATCCAATTTTATCTGAATGTGAGCACATTCCTTCCTATCTCTATTAGATACATAAGCATAATAGAGCTTCTATAGTACATTCACCTTCTTTTCCATGGAAAAAAGAGCATCAGCAAAATCAAGATTCCTGATCAGTGAATAATTTCAGAATGAGCTTGCTGCAATTGTGGGTGACCAGCCAACTTCTAAATGGAGGTGTTGTATGAAATGACACCTGGATGTATAATAATTATGCCTAGTCCTTTATATAGAAAATGTCAATTTGCTCTCACAGCAGATCAATCTGAAAAGGTGGCTTAGATTTCATCCAGGTAATTATAAGGAGCGCATACGAGTTACTGAGTCAAGATTTCTGAATAACAAACCAGTCACTTCTAATGACCCAAGGCTRAAAATTAATTTGATAGTAAAGTTTGCCATAAAATCCTTTTAAATGTGTTTGGAAAAATTAGGTGTGGGATGATTTCCCATTTTGAACACCATTCTGGTTCTGAATAGAAGACCAAAATATTTTTGTTATTTAGTATATTACATTATGCTTTTTTTTGTTTTACAGTTTTGCATGATTGAGCTGGACACAACACTGTCTAATACACTGAAGATTGATGCAGGTATCAACTACTAGATGCTTTGCCTCATGGTAGTAACAATAATAATAATACAATTGTGGCTGATGGAAAAAAACAGTAAGAGAAAAATGTTGTAGTTTAAGGTCTCCCTGAGGAGTGTATACTCCTAGTATAAGCAGCATTAAAATAACATCTGATATATTATTGAAATGCACATACTGACACACTGTAGCAATTGCTAAATAGTGATCTAGCATGAACCATCGCTGTTACCCTGGCAAGAACTTAAATCACCTTCTGCAGGTTTCTCCTGTCTTAGTCTCTCTAGATTGCACCCGTCCTGAGGAGTTCACAGGTTCTTGAAACAGTCACACTAACACAGCCGGCACCAGAAACACATTCTTACTTGTTCTAYAAGCAGTAAGAAATGTCATTTGGAATAAAAGTTCATCAAACTGTGTAATAAATGCAGGTTGTCCAAAAATAAACTATCTTCTTACTCATTTGTACACTCAAAATAAATTAAAATTTTGAAAGTTCTAGGTAATCATTCAGCTAACCAAATCACTGCAAAATGGATGCTGATACATTGTCACATCAGTTAATTTCTTGTGGGTTTGGAAGACACTTGTCCTTCTCTCATTTAGGACATGTCAATGTTAGATCACTTCTAGACTCCAATTTGGAGCAAACTGAGTATTTTCCCACAYTGGAGTGCGAGTCTTGCAGTCTGACCCAAGGCAGCCTGCACAAATTTGGCCATGGTTCCCCCCGGGACATGCACTATCATATAAATACTAAACCTCTCCTAACCCTCTGCCATTTTTCAAAACCAGTTCTTCCAACCTGCTCTTCTTTAGTGTCCAATTCTGCAGTAAGCTACAGAGTTTATATCCATTAAAAACTTATTCTGTTATTAAGATGCAGGATGTTCCTACAGTATGCAACCATGTAGTTAGTCTACAGTAAATCCCTTCAGGCATGGACTGCATTTTAAAATGTTTATGAAGTCTCCAGGACCATGAGGCCCCACATTCAGTGCTAATGAGCTATATATAATAATGGCTGTCACCAACACTTACCTTTGCAAACAAAGCACTTAATATGGAAATATTTGTTCTGAACTCTCAAAACTTCTCCTTTGCATGGGTTTCCACAGTTGTTGCAAAGAATTGCAGTACTTGATGGCTTCTCAAGTTGGCTATGTACAGCCTGTGGTTGTGACACTGCAAAGAAAAACAAGAGATAAAGTATCGTAAATGCTTTGAGACAAATAACTGCATCATAATCATCTTCCGTAAGATCTACAGATAATGACAAGTAATGCCTGGGACAAAACAGGCCATGTGAATCAAAACTTTCAACAAAGCAGCTAATGTGGATGAAACAGTTCTAACTTCTAATACTGACCAGCACAGGAGAAAAGAACTTCTAAAAGAGCTGAAAGATGCTTCCCTCATCTCATAATTTTGAAAGTTCACCCTTTTAAACATTCCAAACATAATCTGGAACTGCTTACAGAAAAAAAAAAAAAAAAAAAAATCATGAGGATTAAGACCCTCTCTCTCTCAGTTTCAACAAATCATTATTCAGCATCTTCCTTTCAACAATTCAAAATACATGAACAACAAGTATTATTTTAATGCAAAATACCTTTAAGAGATTTAGCAACCATCACATCATGATCTGGTTTTCTTTAAATTTCAAAGTAATTGCCTTTCTAATCACTTCTAAGTTATGAATAAACTTCTGCAATTTTTTGAATTTATAATTTTGAAAAAAATCTGTATTTCTGTAACTACCACACATATGATCATTAATTAAACATTCCTGACATTTTGTAGGAAAACAGTTTTGATTTTAATAAGAGATTGAAATTATTTAAGCTAGTAATGTGTTAAGTGAATTAAAAATTTGCTGCCATCTTGTGATGCAAGCTAGAAATTGCATTTATTGGGCTGTTAATGTAAATCGTTATTCCAGTGTTGTTCTAATAATTCTGCTGTAGCACATGCATAAATTTTATATTGCAATTTATATTGCACTCAGTCTGCAAGAGAGTGAATACCAAGTGGGTTAATTATAATTGTCTTCTTTTTTTCTACCTAAACAACTAATAACAGAAAAAACATACCACATTTTTAACAAATTACATACCCACAGAATTGTTTTTAATTAAAAATACAGTAGACCTTTGCCATAAGGCACCTTTGCCATAGGGAAGGTTGAAAAAGAGAGAGACCATGAGGGTATTTCCACTAATAASCATACATGGTATCAGACATTATCAGACACGGTGCGTGTCATTATGAGTGAGGTGTTGGGACATTCACATGTCCATCTGGTCTTGCTAGATTCCAGACCCCATGGTGCCCTGGAGAGTCCGGGTCCACTCTACTCTCTAGCATCTGTCCTTGTTGCTCTTCCTCCTCTATTCACACTCTCATCCCCTTCTCTGGTGACACCTGAAAGGTCTCTTCTGAGCCACTGACCTTAGGTAGTCCCTATTTCAAAGAGATGTTGAACTTGGCAACCACGGCTCCAGGGATCTGTCTGGAAGTTTTGCCTAACCCTGCATCCTCTAACTGAAGATATAARAAATTTTTATTTATTTTTTTCTCCCTAGGCAGACCCATGTGCTCGAATTGCCTGTAGTCACTCACCACTCATTCACATGCTGCCTTGCCCTACTCTGCAAGGCTTCATCCTCTGCTGGCCAAGAAGTCCTGCTGAAAGCAGTGTGAATTTTGGAGCTCCTGCTGCAGTCCTGGTTTTAATTAAGTACATATCCAAAATAAACAGCTCTGAACAAGCAATTAGAAGTTTACAGAAATGCGGCTGCCCAAATTTATGAAGTGGAAACAGTGCATGTAGTTCAAGCTAATGTGATTCTGCCTGTTTCCTTTAAAGAAATAAAAATGAGAACTCTAAACTTCACAACACGTAGCTCTCAACACAAAAATTTCCCTATATTGTAAACTGCCAAATACTATTCACCTTGCAATTAATTGTGGAATCAACCCTGCCTGCAAGAAATGTAAACATTTTTGTTTTGTTTTGTTCTACTGACATGTTTAGAATAACAGGAACAAAAATTTCCAATCCTAGGTAAAACCATTTTTCTCTCCAAAATCGTTAGTGAACATTTAATGCATTAGTGTAGCATTAAATTCATGAACTGAAAGACGGTTGACTACTCTCAGAACACTTTRGTCTGAAAAGTCATACCTTAAATAGAAAATTCTGATCAGAATCATTTGAAATTTTGAGGTTCTGCATCAGGGGCGTCTGCCCAGGCTCCAGGCTTTGTGTCTGGGGCACTCTGCTCATTGGAGCCAAAACACTGGTGCTCTGACAGGAAAAACTAGTTTTCTTCCTCAAGAAAATGGTAAAAYCTTTGGCTCACATACACGGTCATTTGTCCATTTTCAAAATGCTTTCAAAAGTTTTGATGCTGCTGTTGCTTTGAGGGAGACTTATTTTCCCCTTGCTGAAGGGCAGTGGAAAATGGCAATTCTTGCCTGATGCTATTTTGTAATTAACCAAAAAGAGGGAGACCTGTGGCCCGCCCCAACTCGAGGTGCTTCACAGGAGCAGCCCAAGCCCCTCCATCCTGCACCATCAGCCCATAGCAGAGGCCGGTCCATATCTCTAGCCACCAGCACGACGGATCCTGGCAAGTCCCAGCTCCACCAGCCCATGTTTCTGGCCTTGCTAGGCATAGGAAGGGAAGGGATAGAGCAGAAAGCTCAAGGAGCCCTTGAACATGTCTCCTGAATCCTTCCCCCAAATATCTCTCTAAGGAAATAAAACCCTGTGCAGAACAGCCAAGTGCATGCCAAAGACTGTCTTAAATAAGACACAAGCTACTATTCCCGTTTAACAAAAGCTTCCTGAAGAAAATATAGTCTATTGCTCTCAGATACTTCTCACACAAAAGAATGACATTCCTGAAGTCTTCCAGCGCACACATTTCCCCTGATTTGAAATGAGGAGCCTGCACATCTTGGCCAAGATGCAGCTGCCAGTTATGGAGCAACGTCTGGTCGCTCCCTTGCTGCTCGCCTGGAAGTTCAAGGCTGTGGTTATTGGGAAGCAAGGGCAAAAGGTGGCCCCACGTTGCTCTTGGTGCTTTCCGGTTCTTGCTCCTCAGGTCAGCGTTAACTTGGAGAAATGTCCTGGAGCCAAACTCTGACAGTGGCTGTGCCATGCAGTGCCCACAAAGCCACCCCAGAAAAATCTTTCCTTACACTATGCTGCCCAAATGCAAGAAACTTCACCCACTGGCACAGACTTGTTTGCTCTTTTGAATGTATTGAGAATTTTTTTTTTTTAAATTACTACTCATCAAGAGCCAGAATTGAAAAAGTATTCTGAAATATTCTGAAATATTTCTTTTGCAATTCCTTCATTAACTTTGGAATAACACAAATTTAATATTTAATATATGCACGTTACATAATTGTTTTGCTTTCCTCTGAGGTCCGAAGCAAGCTAATCACCRTTTCACACAAACGTCTCTATGAAACCAAGTGGGAACACTGTGCCTTTGGGCTCATTATAAAACAGTGCTTTTGATGGCACTTTTAAGTAATTATTATTTCTTCTTGCAGAATAAAATGAAGTGGTTAATATCYTTCTAAATTGGAATAACTTGTTTTAAAATATGTTCTGCTTTATGTTGATACAATTTTTTAATAAGGATATACTTTCAAACTAATTATGTTAGTCAATTAAGAATTTTAACATACATGCATTTCAAGTCACTATTAAGAAAATCTGTTACATGGTAATTTTCAGCATTCTATTTTTACCCTGTAGGTATCAAAACTCATCTTCAAAGCAGAAGATATGACCGACATATTTAGCTGGTAATATACCGTATTGCTTATGGAATGTAATGATCCAAAAAGACTCATCAGCCACTAAAGAGCTCATTAAAAATTAAATGATTACATTATTGCGTTCTGGTTTGCAGGATTTAATGAAGCTAGAATTTTCCTTCCTAAGTGACTCTTGCTGAATAGGATACAATGGAAAGCCTGGTTCTCCAAATTTCTCTTCTTCCTAGTTTGCCAGTACGCTGCTCTAGCAGAGATATTGCCACAAATTCTTCAACTCTACAGAGGTTTTATTGTAGTTACTTTATGAGAATGACAAAAAGGGGAAATAAATGAATTAACATACACTTYCCATAGCACTGCATTGGCATACAGGGGTTGTGTATTGGCAAAATTTGTGTCAAATGTCCAGCAGATGCACATTCCTGATGCCAAAGCTCAGAAATTAGGCTCATCTCTCCAACATGTGAGGTTGTCCCTAATTCTGTAGTTCTGGATTAAGCAGGGATTACTGAATTAGCAATGGTTTAATAAATGTAAAATAAGAAGCATTTCTGCAAATAGATTTACTTCTATGTTGCTTGCTCTAGTCTCATGCACTGGCTCCAAATATAATGGGGGAAGAGGGACTGCTGGATGGCTCCTTATTACAGCCACGCTACATGACAGTTTGAATGGGCTGATAGCTTTGTGTTTGGTGTCCTCAGACTCGTTTCTTTATGGAGGACCTCAGACTTTAGCTGCCCACCCKTTGGCTTCCCCCTGCCACGAGCAAACCTGTTGGACACAGCCCCAGCAAAGGAGCTCGCTGCCCACCTATGCCTGGTGCATGCAGAGGATGAACCAATGCTACTGCTCTTGGCCAGCCAGGGGACAGAAGTCCTCCTGGTAGATCACAAACCTTGCGAGGAAATGCATGGCTAGAAACTGCAGCATTTAACACAGTCCTAACGAACAATTCTGAAGATTTCTAGTACATGAGCATGTAACATGGGTCTTGCCCTCCCACTCGTGCCTCAGTTAAGAGAAAAAAAATCTATAAAGGAATTAATATCTAAAATTACTAGTAACAGTTGTTTAGTTCATGAAAATGTTCAGCTTTTTCAACCAGGATGAAGGCAACGTTCCAGCTCTGAARCCCAAATGCACAGCTCGAATGATGAATACTATTCAGCGTGACTGCATTAACAGAAAATTATCATGGAAATGTTGACACTGAAACCTTTCATCTCTACAGCCTGAATGGGTCACTGCAATTCAAAATCAACAGCTAAGCGACCTGAATGCCCTTTATTCACTAACCATTTCAGAGCAAAAATATTGAATGTTGAGGCACTGTATCAAGCAAAAGAGGGGACACAGAAGTGATTAGAGCAGAATTAAATTTGCAATCTTTTCTGAGCAGGATTAAAAGAGACTCAAATGAGCGTAGCACTACACCAGAATTAAAAGATTTGAGTCTGAGTTCTTATTTTGCCAAATATTTCCGGTGGGCTTGGTGAAATCCAAGCTTTCAGGGCTGGGTTTAAAGCACAGCACAAAAGCAGAGGAAGCCTAAAACCTGCAAACATTTCCTTAAGCACTATCTGCAGTTTTAGGTGCCTAAACGTGACCCCAGTTCCCTCCTTGTYGTGTGCCTACCTGCTAAAATATAGTGACTAGGAAAGCCTCCAGCATCTGCCAGGAGGCAAGGATGATATAATACTGTAATAAATGAATAACACGTGAGCTGTTCAGAGAACAACATGGATGTGAGCTATAAATACAATTTTGGAAGATGTCGTTTTGCTCTTCCCCTGCAGAGGAAGGGCAGCAGCCATCCAAGGTTCCAGCCAGGGCCGTGGGTGGCCCCGGCACGGCAGAGCCTGCACCAGCGCCAAATGTGCTGGAAACCCATGGGCTGGAAGAGCACATAGAACTGCTGCAGGGACTTGCCTTCACACAGTCAGCAGCGTGTATTGGAAGCCTATTTTTTAGGATAAGGTGCCTGCATCCTGGACTGTGCCTTTTTATTATTTTGCAAAACCTCCTCCTAGAGGGAAGGCGAGAAAGCTAAAGCTTTACATTGAATTTCCACCTCACATACTTCCTCAAAAACTTCAGCTAACTACCAAGAGGGCTGAGYTGGGGCCACCTGAGTGTGCACTAACTAGTTGACTTCCCCAATAAGCCTTTATGTGATTAGCATGTATAACAACTTCTGAAGAAGCACTATTTTTTTCAAAGATTTCCTGCTGTTCCTAAAGCACTGTTACTAGTTCCTTAATTTATATACCATRGGCAAATCAGCAAGTCCAATAAATCTTAAGCCTGCAAATCTCTATTTAATTAATTAAATGGCCAACAASATAAAATAACATAGTTAAAAATCAGTGTTTTCATTTTTGAACTCTATACCTGCTTTTACTACTTATTATGCATCCTTTTTTTGCAGTGCTTTTCCTTTAGCATGAGGAAAGGGATTGGATACCTTTCTCAGTACTCCCCCCATGGATCATAAACAAATCTATCAATGATGCAGGGCAGCAGATAGTTAATATCTGCTGAAAAACTGAAGCGTCTTGTCCTTTCCTGCTGATTATTGGGTTTTTATGGTAYTGGAGATGGAGGGAAGGAGAAAGCAGAATGCAAAGCAATGCAAACACGCATCAGATACTGAACACAGCACAGGCAGGCAGCACACACGGGCTCCTGACGCTGCCGTGTGCTCAGTGCAAAATCCGTGTCACACAAACAAGCCCTGCACCAGCTGCCCTCCCGCACCCAGCACTGCGATGAAACGCCGACCAAGTCCAAGTTCAGTCTGTAGAAATCAGCTGCATTTTAGCAGCTGCTACTGCAGCAGGAAAAATGCTATTTTGGTRTTGTTTTTATCAAGGCAAGAAAAAGACAAGACTGTCACACCAATACATAAAGCAATAGGCTTTTTTTTTTTTTTCATTAGAATCTAACATAAAGCAAATGACACTTGAAATAAAATCAGAGATTTTTTCAAACTGAGCTCTCCGCTAATAAGCACGGCATCATTACAGATTTCAAATCACTTATACAGGGCTACAAAGCATAACTTGAAATAAATATTTAGCCATCTCCTCCTCCTCTGCAGCATTTTCGTGTAAACAACGAGTAATTACTGTGCTGATAACACCAGCAAGCTAGCCACAGCAATCCTGGCTTACAAACAGATTATTTCAGGTCCATCCTCTCCAAAACGTGCACTCATCCCACCGTACCTGTGTCTTCTGGCATTCCTGCGTTAACTCAGTCCCACGCAGGCAGCGACACGGGAAGCAGCGGCTGAAGTTCCCGCTGCTCCCGCTTGCCGGGAGCTGCCAGGGCTCAGGGACGGGAGCTGCGGCGCGAGCGGTGCCGCAGCGAGCGGCAACTGCAGCGGCCGCCCGAGCCGCCACCACCACCGTCGCCACCGCGCCGGGGGTCAGATGACTCCCGCACGCCCACACGCAGGCGGGAGGAGAGCCAGGAGCTCCTTGCCAGGCAAAAATAGCGCCCCGGAGGAGCCCGGACACCCTCCTGCCCGCAGGCCGGGCCATGGCGGGAGACGCTGCCGCGGCCTGTGCCTGAGGCAGCTTGGGTCCCGCCGGGCGCTAACAGGCAGGGGGCATTGAGGAAAGGAAAAGCTCAGCAAGATGGTAAATTGAGGGAAAAACAAGGCAAATGGAAGGCTTGTTGCTTCCACCCGAAGCCCTCACCTGCTCTGGGCCAGACTTGTGGGACAGTACTAATGTGGCCACAGCACTGGAAGGTGCTTTCRTCACTTGAAAAACCTGCTAAGCCTGGACTAAACCATGGGGAAAAGAACAGGACTGCATCTTCCTTGGGGAAGACCACGGTTTATCAAGGATTTATTTCGGCTAGAAAGCAGCAACGAAATCTCTTCTCCTTTCCTTCCACCAACAGAAGCAAGGCAAGGACATGCAGGTGAAGCCGGTCTCCCCAGCTCCGGAGATGGCCGAGCTTATGAAAGCAACATGGACTGGGGGGCACTGGGCACAAAAACCAGACTTTATGATTACTTATGGCCAGATACTTCTCAAGTTCATTGCATTCCACAAGCTAAAGAATGCTCTACCCTAAATCATATTTAAAATGCACTGACTTGACCCAATGGGCGTATATGCTTGTGGCTGACTTCAATGATTGCTGAATCACATCTCACAGAAAGTTCAGCCCTGTAATTTCCCACAGAGAACACAAACTATTTTTAAAACTTGATAGAATGCCTTTTTTTAAAAATTTTTTTGAAATAAAAAAAAATTTTTTTTAAAAAAAAAAAAAAAAGTTCAGCCCTGTAATTTCCCACAGAGAACACAAACTATTTTTAAAACTTGATAGAATGCCTTTTTTTAAAAATTTTTTTGAAAAAACAAAACCAAACAAAAAAAAAAAAACAAAAATGGCTTTATTTGTGCAGTACAAAGTGGAAGTTTTATGTAAAAATGGCTTAGTGAGTATCTTCTATATATTTTTAAGTTCTAACTAGCTCACCATGGATTGTTGTAAAGACAGGGTGGAGGCTCTTTACTCTTACTTCAAAGCAAAACCCATCAGTGCTTCAGAAGAATTTATGTATGATTATGAGCAAGATTTCTTGACAGTAAGCCAGAAACAGCCGATCGTTCTTAGATCTTACAGAAGTGAACTAATTTCAAAAGTTTTTGAAAATGTTTTCTTTTAACTTATTACTTAGAAGGCATGTCTTCGAATTTCATAATGGATACAAAATAAAACATTGGTTTGTTTACCCAATACTGATTATTATGTGAATCACTATGAATATAGCATTCAAATGCTGTTCAAATATAGCACACAAATATGTGCTATATGAATAGCGCAAAATGCTAYGGGAAGGACCCCACCAACCTGGGACATGACAGACCCAGTGTCTGTAACTTGAAGTAGCTCTGGACTGGTAAGAAACGAGACTCAGAAAGCAGATTCCACGATCTCAACTCCCAACCCCTAATTCTCCACGTTCGAACTACTTCAGCTACAGAAGTGATTCCATGAGTAATGTGAAATACCATAAACTCGTATGAACCATATGCTGCACACATGAATAGTCTGATATTTGAAAACAAATAAAACTGAAACGATGAATTATTCAGTTCTTCAGACTTTTAGCATTAACAACTTACTGCAGTTCCCCCCAGTATTTTAGCTCCATCTGTGCGAGACCAAATCCTTCCTTGTATTCTTTTGGACTTACCAACAGATACCCTGCCTGAGCTCTCCAGATATTTGCAGGATTTGGCCTACTTAGATTTTCCCAGAGGTTACTTCAGCTTGGCAGAAATGCAGAAGGCACTTTGTTAAATAGCAACACTCGGAAGGAAGAGAAATTAATAGGCAGAAAAAGTGAAAGAGCTTTCACTCTGGCACTGCCTTTCCCTGTACTGCCGGACTTTTCAAGGCTAACCACTGTGTAACCCACATTTTGACAGTATACCATCATAATGAAGTCAAATAGGATACTTACAAATTGGATATTTACAAATCTACTTGTAATCTTTGAGCCTTTACCACAGTCTCACAACTTGGCTACAGCAAAGGAAAAAACATAATTTAAACACTTAGAGGTTATTGACAGTGTTTCAACGAAACTCCAGCACCAGTTCTTGGCTTCACAGGCACAAAATAAGAGACTATTGCCCTTCATTAGTGTGATTTGCTGACTCAGACGAGCACGACAGGAGACACAGTGACAGCAGCACAAGCCAGAMAGCCCAGATCCAGACTGCCAACACTCCTGCTGTTAGCAATCCATGAAGTATTACAGTTTTAACCTGATTTCTCAAACCAGCATAAGCCAAATACCTTTATTTCCCTGTTCTAAAGGTAAGAGCATTACAGTGCCTTGTCGTTTAATGCAGGCTACAGAAAAGGATGACGCACTTTGCTTCTTTCACTATTTTGAAGTCAAGCTCTGGTAACCACAGTAATGGCCACACTTGTAGCCTGTACCCATCTTTTTGTTTCAGGTTTCATTTAGCCAAGGTTACGTTACTGAGGTCAATGCCTTTACTGATGTCTTTGCAAACAACAGCCAGACAGCTTAGCAGTGAATTTAGGCCAGGCTGAAATGGATTAGCTGGCTGCCGCCAATGGAACTGTTAGCCACCCTTTTTTTTTCTTTTTCTTTCTTTTTTTTTAAAAGGTTTTTAGATATGTTTCTAATCAACCCATGTTTTTCCTATACTCACCTCCTACCACTAAAAGAAAATGTCTCTTGTAACTAAGAATTAAGGTCACAATATACCTGTATGACTGGCAGTAGTCCTGAATAACAAGATGATCCTTGGCCTCAAACACTTACGATCTAAATAAAAGAGGACAAGCATATGGTAGAAGTGAAAATGAAGAAGAAAATGGTAAAGCTTTAACAAGATAGAGAAGGATCAACAGCATATTTGCAACCAAACCTGTATCATCTCACTTTCTCCCCAGCCTTTCTTGAGGCAACCACGCAAGGATCCAGTCCTGTTGGAAATGGCCTCAGTCATCCAACCATACTCATGCAACCCAAATTTAGCCTGCACAAAAGCAGACCAAATTAAAATTCTCTTCTGATTATCTAACACTTCTGTCTTCAAATCAGTGCTGGAGAGAACATTTCTCATCATCTGCACAACCAATGAAACATATACGTGGCACCTTTAACCAAAACATGTACGACCAAGTATAGAAAAATAATGCAATTTGTGGCCTTTGTGTAGGATAAAGCTTGCACATAAGCCAAAGAAACTGTTGCATATTTATGAAGCAGAAATCCTTAAAATGTAAGATCAGCTTGCAAATCCACTGAGCTTTGCATAAAGGATAACATGTTGCTGTGCTTCCTCCAGAGGTAATTAGGTCACAAGTCTTTTATTGCTTCCTGCTATCTCTTGCGAATAAAGAGCTTCTTTCAGCCCCAAAATCTGTGATGACAGCCCTTGCCTGGTGGCCAGCAAGTCAGATGAATGAAACCAGAAGCTTTTCTACTTCAGCACCCCTCTACGGCATTTCTCATAGAAGAAATAGGGTGTAGCAGGACTGAAGAAATAGTGCGTTACGGCCCTTTCCCCTTGACTAGTATCATCTAGTATCCTAAAGAATACTTTATTCAGGCACATGTGATGGTGAGTAAAAGCCAAAGACACCACCTGCAAAGTCTATAGAAGATATGACATAACAGGAAAAAGTACTGTATAAAAATCGACACACAGTGCAAGAAAATTCTTAAAGGCCTGACAAAGAGGTGTCTCATAAAGAGGTCACAGAGTAAGAGCACATCCAGGAGATGGATGACTAGGTGACACAGGTCAGAAAGTAAACGGATACAGTCTGGTGAGCCACGAAGTGGCAACGTATCACACACCTCTAGAAACCAACCTGCAGYGCAGGGAACTTGCTGCAGGTAGGAAACTGATAGGGATGATCGGGAGCAAATGGAGATGTTCAGTATGAAAAGAGYTGCCTAAGTAGAGGCTGTAGGCTGACAAGCGCCATTTAGTACAGGAAACCTGCCATGTAATAAGGATAAGGCAAACAATTAACAAAAGGTATTAGTTTCTGAAAGGTCAGGAATGACACGAGACTAAACAGAGAAAGGATTTGAGTTAGGGAGGAAGAGAAACTTAAACCGCCTGCTGAATACCTGGCAGTAAATTAGAAAAGCAAACAGSATAATGGAAGGCCCTGTGTTAGGGGAAGGTAGCCCAGAACCAGCAGCAATGCTACTGTGATGAGAAGCACTGAGACAAAACCTAGGCTCCCAAGCCCCGTATTTTGTAAGAAAGAAGAAAAAAAAAAAAGAAAAGAATAAAAAAGAAGAAAAAAAGAAAAAGAAGAAAAAAAAAGGAAACAAAATGAGCCAATAAATGCAAGTTTGGTGTGACCAAAATTGTTTATAGTAAGCAAGGAATTTGAAAAGTTAATTTATACCCTTTACTACAGAAGGAATTTAATTACAAAATGAATTTGGCATTGAGAGGTGCACAAATGGAGCCAGAAAGATGGTGGGCATTGCAGAGATGCTGAGATCCTTTAAAGATATTTCTTCTGGGAGTAATTAATGCATAAAAAAGGTTTTTAAAGATGCAATTTTCCATGTGGGTTGATGTAAGACACACACACAGATCACTAAATGCTAATTTACCATTTTTTACATGCAAATTTTCATTTATCTCTTTCTTTTTTTAATTTCAAAGGAAATTTTCAGTCCTTAAATAGAGARTACACTGAAGCATTAACTAATTATATCAACTAAAAGGATCTTCATTGCTTCCCTCTTTTCTGAAAATCAAAAACATTACCATAATTCTGCAATCCTAAACCACCTATTCTAC